TAATGTGTAATTTTGTTATATTTGATAATTCTTTATTGTCATTTAGCAGTAAACTGACAACAAGAGCAGAAATGTTTAATCGCTATAATACGTTGGCTTCGGACATTCTTTCTCAGTTTTTAAAAGGGACCCATAAAACAAATGAATTTTTTAATCCTTAATCAATTTAAGCAGTTAAATATACTAATACAACGCTTGACTAAAACATAATAAATTACTTTAAATTAAAATGATTTCAAAACATTTCTTTATAAGTCGGTAGGCGATAAGTTGACATATGTGTTAAATTAATGATGTTGAAAAAAACAGTGTACTTTTCAATTGAGAAATAATTCAAGAAATATTTAGTGAAACTTGAAATAATTTAAATATTTATGATACAATTGTGAAAAAATACGCATTAATATATATTTTTAAAAAAAATCTTGCTTTTTCTACGTATATATTTGTGAAAAGATTTAATTACGTTATTGTGAATTGAACACTTTTGGTATTTGGTATTTTTGTTGCTGTCATAATATTTTTAATCATCAAAACAAAGGGGAGTATGTAGAAGAAAAATATTTTTTAGGTCGAAGCAAATATCAAAATTCATTTTAGATAAAAACAGTACTTATATCCAATTGTTTATATTAAAAAACTAAATAGAATAGAATTGAAATTTTCAATTAGTCGTACCTAAAGTGTAAACAACTACATTTGATTAAATAGTATTTTCTGGAAATACGTGTGCAATTAAATAATTATGGCTGATAATTATCTGCAGCCAGTGAATAATCACTTTGACTTAAATGGTGAAGACTTAGAGGATGTTGATGATGATATTTTTCTGAATAGTTCTCGCACTAATAGTCGAGTCTCTGGTCATAGTAGCACTGGTGTTAAAACGCGTAGTACAAATCCTTTCGAGGACCAAACGCAAATATATGCAGAAAAACGTCGTCAAATTGAAGCACGTACAATTGATTCCACACAGAAAAGTTTAGGTAAGTGAATGTTCACATTTGTATTTGTAGACCTAATGTATTAAATAATATTTATATTATTTTTTACAGGGCTTTTATATGAAACTGAAGAAGTGGGAAAGGCTACTGCTATTGAACTCGCAAAACAAAGGGAACAATTAGAGAAAACATCAAATCAGTTAGATGAAATCAATTCCACACTACGTTTTAGTCAACGTCATTTAAATGGATTAAAAAGTGTTTTTGGTGGACTGAAAAATTATTTAGCAGGAAACCGTGATCCAGCACAGTCTCCACGTTCAACTCTGTCACCTACTGGTAGTCAGGAATCAACCGCCAACACAAATACAAACAGTGGAATGCCAAGCGAGAAAGCTGCAATGTCACCAACAGAGCGTTATGATGATCATCCTATAAGTCGCATACGCAATGACTCTACTATATATCAGCAAAGAGAACAAATGCAACAACAAAGACGCAATAACCCTTTCGAAATGCAGTTGGAAGCAAATCTCGAAGAAATGTGTGGCAATTTATCACGCTTAAAATGCTTAGCTACAGACTTAGGTGGCGAAATTGAGTCACAGAATGAACTATTAGATAATATGAATTATAAAATTGAAGACGTTGATATTAAGATGACTAAGCAAAATAAAGAAATGAATAAATTGCTCGGTAAGAAGTAGAAAACAAAGATAGCGTTGCATACTAAATTCGCAATTGTTGATTTAATATTTAATTTACATTTTGTTTATAAAACACAATAATATAAATCATGGATATAAGAATCTTCACTCTCACTATAAGAAACTTAGCTTAGAACTATCATTATTAATCAATTATGAGTTATTTAATATATCAGAAAGTATTCATTATTAATATCGAAAGCTGCATGAAGTTATAACAGAAATATATAATTAATGCTGGTTGCTTTTTGTATTAAACACTACCAATAAAATTTTGATATTTTTTTTGAAGAAAATAATTGTTTTTTCAATTACGAAAATTCTGCATAGTCATTAGTAATATTATCTGTTGCGTCGAAATTTATATCAGGCAACTCTATAGTATATACGAGTATCAGATAAAGATACTTATGAGGAATATTTATTCAAGAATAATATAATTGAATAAACCAATGCTAATATGTGTTGAACATAAAAGTAAGAAAGTCGAATAAAATTAGGAAATTTGAAGTCCGTTTAAATTAAACTATCTCCATAGGGTATTTAAATATTTTCGTATGTATACTAAAATAATAACAATAAATAGAGGACGTAAAACTAGGAAAATATTTAACTCAATATTTTTGATTTTTTACTATAGACTAGTCTTCCATTTCGTGAAGATTTTTAAATCTGCTTCTAGAGTAGGGAAGCGCATATAGCTCTCTTGAAATTTTAATTAGGAATTATGTGAGCAGAGGTAAGTATGTATTATAATTTGAATAATATAAAAACAAAAATTCTTTTATATATAATATATACATATGTAAATAGAAAAACTTTTGTTTTTGTAATACAAAATAGTATGAAATCAAAGTTCTCTTATAGTTCAAGTAGCTTGCGTTTTATATGACTTCATTTTAGTTGTTTTTATTGTATTAAATTAATAGCGGTTCTGGAAATTGAAGTATTTAGAACCACAACGACATATTGTGATTGATTGGAAACAGAAAGTAGTATAGGCAACCAAATTAATTCTTAATTACTGATTTGATTATTTATTTATTTTTTTAAGCAGAATTAGCTGCATATTACTCCAAATAGATAATAAATGTGGTATTAGAATCTTTGATAATTTGTAGAAAAATTTATTATTTCTTCAACCAAATATTTTTACATAAAAAAATATTCTTCGTGTTTTTTAAAAAATGAAAACAAACACTATTTCCTAATTCCGAAGTATTATAATTGTTTGCAGAAATGTTTCCGCTGTTGATCCTGGCCGAGTTAACAGAAACTATTGTTTTGTTTTCAAAGCTTTCATTAGTTTTTCCAATTTCATGGCTTTTTGTAAATCACCAGCGATTTTAAGTTTTCCAGACATAAACGCGGGAGCTGGTTTTAATTTGCCCGCAAACATATCAAAGAAATTTTGAGATTTCATTGTTAGCGTGGCATCAGGCGTATGTTGAGGTGTACCATTGCCACAAGAACCAACACCATTCTTCAAATCTAAATACCAAGTACCTTTTTCGTCGCCCTCAATATTAAACTGATAAATAGCCTGAGTTTTTGTTACAATATCTTCTGACAAAAGTGTGCTGATTTTTTCAAACACCTGTGGTATTTTGCCTTTTGAAGAAGCAGAAGCAGGGGCATCTATTGCACCAACTTTTGATTCCTCTTCGCCATCCAAGAAGAAATCAGGCATCAGTTTATCTGCGTTAGCCGGATTACAGGCATATTGCGTCATATCTTTAACTCCTGCTTCTGCAAGTACTTCATCGTCTATTAGAAATTTACCAGTGCTAAGACGCGGTTCTTTTACAAGAACCGCATATGCAGAATCTGCCATTATTTCAGGTTTTCGTGACCATTGTGCACTTTCCGCTCCTGTTAACATTTCAATTGCAGCTGTTTGTATAGCAGTACGCGGCCAAAGCGCATTGACGGCAATGTTTTTATCCTGAAATTCCTGTGCCATACCCAACACACACATTGACATGCCATATTTAGCCATTGTGTAGGCAACGTGTGGTCCAAACCATTTTGGATTTAGATTAAGTGGTGGCGAAATATTGAGTATGTGTGCGTGATTGCTCTTTAATAAATAGGGTAAACATTCCTTTGATACAAGAAAAGTACCTCGAGTATTAATGTTATGCATCAAATCGTATCGTTTCATCTCAGTTCCAAGTGTGGGTGTTAAAGATATTGCACTAGCATTATTTACTACAATATCGATTCCACCAAATTTACTTACTGCCTCTGATACAGCAGTTCGCACTTGTGCCTCATCACGCACATCTACAATACATGGCAAAGCTTTTCCACCCGCCTTTTCAACTGAAAATTTATACATTCAATCATTTGTTTGGATCATTTTTACTAATATAAACTCACTTTCTTCAGCAGCTGTGTAAATTGTGCCGGGCAATTTAGGATGTGGTTCGGCAGTCTTAGCACAAACAACTATATTTGCTCCATCTTTAGCGCATTTTAATGCAATTGCTTTTCCTATACCTCGAGACGCGCCGGTTATGAGTAGAGTACGTCCCGCTAATTTTCCAGTATTAATCATTCTGATAATAAATATTTAATGTCCAATTTAATTTGAAGGCAGTTTTCTTAAGTACTCAAAGAACTTTATACCACGCCAAAGAGAAAGTCCAAAGTACAATATAAACATATATATCAAACAAGAGAAATCTACTTCATAATCACAAGAGCAACAACAAACGCAACAAATAAACCACAAACAAAACAAAATACAAACAAGTGTTGTGATCTAACGTCACAAAAACATATTAATGGCATGATCACAATGTAATGTAGGGTGTTCCGAACAGGGTTAGTTCGCTGTTATATATATAACATAATTTTGAATCAATATCCACATATTTTTTTTGTATTTTTAAACTAGAACAATTCGAAAAATATGTTTAGTATAATACGCTACACTGGAAAAAATTTTAGTATGTGCTGTAGATATTAAGTAGTATTTAAAAACACGAAAGTCAAAACAAATACTCCATAAACACAAAACTAAAAATAAAAAATGATGTATATTTTTGTGATTGTTAATTCACATAGAATGATACCTTTGTTCCAGTATCTTATATTACCTACATAATTATTACTTTATTAATACATACTTTATTACTCTAAATTATTGTCAAAATATATTATCTGTGAGTTAATATACACCTTTAATCTAAACAATTCAGAAAATTTTCTAAAAAGTCGTTCCAGCAGCATTATAAAATATATAATAAATTGCAAAATTTGGTGCGAAAATTTTATGGTCTGTTTGCTCAATAATAACAATTCATTATTAAATAATGTATCATTCACTGTAGACAATGAAATATGTTAAAAATATATTGATTAATATCAGTTATTCAATAGCTGAGTTAGGCTGCGGTTACGTTTACAATTTACATTTATAAGTAATCATATGTTAGTTGTTATAGTTACTAAGAACCAAAGAATACTTTTACAAGTATTTACAAGTATTCTTTGCTAAGAACTATTCGCGTGACGTGGTGTCTCTCTCGTGCGAATACTTGATTAAACAAAATATTTTGTTTGAAATTCATTCGTTCGTGTACAATCAAAGGTAGAAATAGTAAAATTGAGAAGTTTATGTTGTTTTCATGTTACTTTAATTTTATAAATGGAATAAACTCGATAGACAAATATGTAACATATATACGTCAAAACCTTCTGTTTCCTCCAGGAAATTTAGAATAAGATTTACCTCATTATTGGTCCACTTTTTGTTGCCACATTTCCGATTTTTAGCCAGCAGCTCAGACATTGTTGGACGTAAAATAAATATATAATCAAACAATTGCACAAAACAATTACAAAATCAAAAAAAACTTAACAGTTTCGCTAAATATTGCCCAGCCGACAGTAAAAAAAGTAGTATTATTCACAATAGAGTCTTGAAAACCAAATATGCAAAAGGTAATTGGTGTTGAAAATATGGTCCTGAATATTGTCTTTCAAATCAAGTGCAGAATTATAAATAAAGTAATTGTTTTTATAAAATCAAATAATTTTGCATATGCAACGATGCACAGACATCGTGAATACCCCTATAATATAAGAATGCAAACCATTGTCCTTCTAATATTCATTTTTTTTTCTTGTATTAAAATTAATTAATTTTCAGTGTTTACAATTTTTATATATTATATTCCACATAACACAACAAAAACTTAAAAAAATGGCATTTTATATAAATTAAGAGTAATGTCAATTTTTTTGAACTAGACTTAATGGTGTTGTTTTAAAGCTCTGAAGAAAAAATTAGCACTAATGTAACCGCAACATGCGACGTGTTTGTATGAAAAAAAATATGTACGAATACACTAGATAAAATTCGCATGTAATGTAACCACAGTATTAATTAAATCAGATATTGAAAATGTCTCATGCCAAAGTCGCAGGCACGACTTCATTAAAATGAAGCAGAATACTTCTCTGCATATTTATTCTCAATTTTACAGTTTTCAGTTGCAAAATAAAGTTTAAAAGTTGATTTCTACATACATTATATTATATGCAGTTTAAACACATATTCCTTGTTGCATTACAGTGAACATAGTGTAAATATTGGTTAATATGGGGCTACTTCCTGAAACATTGTTATCAATACTGTAAAAATATGTGCATTGTGTGAATAATTTATCTAAAATGGTTGATGAAACGTTGTTTTCAGAACTGCTTAAATACCTTCATTGAATATTTGATCAGCATTTGATTTACCTGTGACATTAGTTGGTAGATTATTGTAAACTGCAGTTCTATTGTGAATTGCCATAATGTAAGTCCAATTAAGCATTGCGGGCAAAGAATAGTTTAATTGCGGCTTTTTTTGTTACTTTTTGTTGTGAAGCGCATTTTAGTTGAATGTAACAAAAATATCGAAAATATTTTTATAATTTAATAAATATGGAGCTTAATAATGCAGTAGAAGAGTCATGCACTGTTTTAAAGGACCCAATATCATTAGTGTAATTTGTTTAAAGAAAATTTATGTAAAAAAATCTAAAAATTTTATGTACATGTGTATAGTATAACTGTATACCGATACCGAATTTCTAATAACTTTGTTATTTTCAAAAAGTATTTATAATTAATTAAACTAAAGCTGTGTTTTGTTTGTTCTTACAGTCAACTATTGAGTGATGGCGCTAATTTCGAAATTAGCACAAATGCGGATGAGTACGAAAATAATATGTTCGATGAGCTCAACATTGGCTCTGACGATGAGAATGAAGATAGCGAAACTATAATATCTCAGTTTCCATCGCCTTGGACACAACCGTTTGCGGAACTTAAACAAGATATGGTAAAAATATCAGATGATATTCATAAGAAAATAACTGCTGTTGGTTGTAAGGAAAAAGGTTTAGTTCCGGACAACGCACGTGTATGTATAAAATACAATGCTTATTGGGAAGGTGACAGTGTCCCATTCGATTCTTCCTTTTTACGTGGAGCTAAATTCACTTTTTATACCGGTCAATGTGAAGTCCTGTCAGGTTTGGAAAAAGCTGTTCAATCTATGTATCAAGGCGAGAGCGCCACATTCATCATACACTACAATTTATTATTCCATGAAATGGGTTGCCCACCACGTGTTAAGCCAAAAGCTGATGGTCTCTTCATTATAGACGTAATTTCCTTTGATTTGATAGGAAATCTTACTGCAGATATGAGTATTAAACCCGAAGATCGTAATAAATATACTATAGTTGTCGAAAAAGTAAAAGATATACATTTAAGAGGTTTAGATTTCTTTAAACAACAAATGTACAGAAATGCCATATCTGCGTTTCAACGTGCTGCCAACGTACTAAGCTATTGTAGCTTACAGAATGAAGATGAGGAACGTGGTCAGAAGTTATTTTTGATTAAATTGTATACAAATTTAGCGGTATGTTTCAATAAAGTTGGTGATCCAAAGAAAGCTTGTATAATGTGCAGGGAAGTACGTAATTTAGACAAACAGAAACCGTCGTGCAAAATTCTATTTCAAGAAGGCAAAGCCCTGCGTATGCTCGGTAAGTAACGATATAAAATTACTAAAAACGGCTATAACAAATAAATATTTTTTAATAGGTGAATATGAAAGAGCTCGTAATATTTTGGCAAAGTCACTTCTCCTAGAACCTATGAATCCCGAAATCAATGCTGAATTAAAATTACTTAATGAGCAATATGAGCAGTGGCAACATCAAGAAAAAAATATTTGGACAAAAGCACTAGGAATGCAGTTAAAGGAGAAGTCTAAAAACGACGTTGAAACTACTAATAGAGATCAATGGGAAGAAATAATAAAAAATTTCAAAACTAAATCTAACTTAAATGACTTTAAGTTACCAACCTATTTGTCAAATGATGATATGACTTTGATCAATGAACTCGCTGAGCAGTTTGAGTTAAAAGTCCGTGTTTCTACTTTGAATAATACACGCACTTTGTCGCGCAAATAATATTTGAAGTGAAATAAATTACATTTGCTTTATAACGATTTTGTATTGTTAGTATACTAATGCTTGTAAATGTTTATCTTTGCTTGTAAATGTATATGTAAATAAATTATATAAGTACATATATTAAATATATAGAATACCACAGAATTTTAGTAGTGATAAAAAATGCCAGTAGTAGTTGGTAACTAATTCATGAGTATGTTTTATATAGTTTAATAGAGAGATCATTGTTAAATTCTCATATAAAGGTCTAAAGCTAATGACATATTTATTAAGAACTATAACTGTGTATTAATATAGATATAGAAGAAAAAAAAATATGTCAAGTATATACACATTATACCAACTATTTTCAGAACTTAAAAATAATCAATCAAAAAATTCAATATATTGGCATTTTGAATATCTGTAAATGACTTATTTATAAAAGGTATATTAATATAAACTATTTGAAGTATATAGTTATATATATATATTCTTTTTTTAAACTAAATTAGTACACCAAAAATATGCTTTAATTTTAATAAACTAACTCTATACTTTCAAGTTTGTTACGAGTATTAAAATCTATAAATTGCCATAAATACTTTGTAAAAGTTAATGCAAATAAAATGTTAAAAGTATATGAAAATTCTTTATATGTAATTATGGATTTATTTAGACATAAGTTTATATACTTCCGTTTATGTTGTAATCAATTTTGAAGTTATGAGTATTTAAATATGTACTAGTAAGATACCAATTCCAAGAGATGCAGCTCAGCATGTTTCTAAGAAGAGATTGCATAATTTGAAGGTACGTTAGCTGGTTTTTGAAAAAATTAAGATACAAATACCCATGTTTTGAGCTAGGAAACTACTGTTTTAAAAAAATGAGCAATGTTTGTAGTGCCTACAATTACAATATCAAGCAAACACTTGAAGAAGATAAACTTCAAGCAAAATGTTCTAGCGAGTGCCGAGCAATGAGAGTGCCGAGTTTTAGTATTCCATCCGATTGCCAGATCTACACGTTACAAAATGACCTATCAGTAGAGGCGAGGTAGACTTCTTAATCCGTGGCTTCTTCCTATCCTCATTGATTTAATCTGTTCTGTTTGAAAAGCTAGTATAAAAGACACTAAATGAAGACCCAAATCAAATGTAATTATTGTTCTAAGAAATTACATATCACCTCTGCTCAACTCATCGATTAGGCAGATGTCAAAAATGTCGTTATTATCCGGAAAATGTTTCAAATTAATCGATGAATACTTCGATATTTCATTCAAAAATGTATCACATTTTGTTCCAAATTTTATATCCTATGATCACACCTGCTACTTACCTAATAGTCGGTTTTTTTTGTCATATATTTTATAATGATTAATTGGCGAAATGGGAAGCAGAAAAATTTGTTCGATGAACACTATAATGATCCGTTAGTCAGAAGAAAAGTTAAAGGTTGAATTGCTAGGCGATTATTCTGGTCAAGTCCGTAGCAAGAATTTTATATATTAAATGATGCTTTCAGATTTTTCAGTAATAACAAACATTAATAATAAAAATACATATGTTAAAATGTAGTTTCTATATTCACTTTTTGGAGACTTCAGCAAATCAGGCCCCACCTTTAGCTAAGTGCCTGATCCTGCTCACTCTTTTTCCAAAGCTTTTAAGAAAATAAGATAAAAGTTTATATTCCTAACAAAACATAAAAATAAAATATTTTTTGTTCAAACGAAAAATATTTATTTACTGCTTTATGTCCTTATACATTTTCATATACATTTGAGTGAAATTAAAATTTTTTATAATGAATTTACTTTTTTTGTGATTTATTTTTCTTAAGCGTTGACATTTTTACAATTAAAAAATTTTGTTTTGACAATTTAACATTATAATTGTTCTTATATAATATATCTGCATCAGAAACTATAATAAAATAATTTTTAAGTTTATATGTATGTTTATACATATACATTTACAGATATATAACTATATTTATATATTTTCTTTGTTAAACACAGTAATAAATGATTTGGTAACATAAAGCTTAAATTTAATTCTACAAATAAATTCTTTACATATTTTTATATGTTAATTTTAAATTAAAATTATTCATATCAAATATTTTTTTATGGTTTTTTGTTTTGTTTTGCGCTTAAATTTAGAAAATTAACTAATTCACATATATGCAAATGAAACTCTTTTTCTTTATAGTTCTTTAATTTTTTGATTATTTCTATTCTGATATAAGGTCTCTTTAAATTTTTCTTATACATATTTAAATATTTTCATTTAAATTATATATTTTATAAACTCTTATTTTTGCTTTTATTTAACATTAATATATTATTTGTGTTAATGTGCATTACATATATTTTAACTAGACATATTTGTTTTATATTATTTATATTATTGTTTAATATCTATTTTACTGCGAAATTTGATTTAATTCTTATATTAGTTAAATATAGTCTATTATAACTTAAATATTTTTATATTAAAAAGAAGCTTATATTTGGCACTTAAAATAACCCGAAAACTAAGTTAAATATAAAAAACAATTTTTAAAAAATAAACAATAAGGATTTCTATAAAAATCAAAGTTTAAAATATTCTTCGATTTAACATTGACATATTCCATGGTATGTTAATAAAACTTTTATTATTTAAATCGTTTGATTATATGTTTTAATATTAAAATTATATTTTTACATTTATATGACCTTCTTTTATATACAATTTAATCTAATTATATATATATATTTATATTTATTTCATATATATATTTATTATTTACTTGTTATATGTATATTATTTTAAAAACATATTTATCGCGTTTTCTATATTATTTTTTACTTTATTTAAGTTAATATGTTTTACCTAATTCATTATTTTAATTGAAGTTATAAATTTTTTGCATAATTTAACTTTTTGATTATATGTAACTCATTTGTTTATATACTTTTTTCAACTAATTTCTGTTACTAGGCAGGATGATAACATTAAAACAATACTTGGATATGTTGACCTGTGTTATTATTGTTAGGGGGTGTGACACCGCGATCGTCGAGTCTATTGTGCCCCGACGTTATTGATTGAATAATATAAAATTATTTTAGAAAATAATATTTTTATAATATTAAAAAAAAATTTGAGAATCAATTGATTTGAAATATTTTAATCTATTTTGTTCATTTCATAGATCTAAATAATTTTTTTCAAATACAATTTCATAGTAAGGGATAGTTTTTATATTTCATAAGTTATCAAAATTATTTTTCCAATGTTTGTATGATTTATGAATAATATACATATATTTTAGTAGCTCATCTGCCGGTAGTGACCGCAAAGGTATTAACATTTATAAAAGTACAGTAAAGAACATATAATAATATTAAAAAAAAAAACAAGAATTTAAAACAATTTAGTAAATTATAAGTATATGTTTAGTAGTATTTTTATTGAATACTTAAAATTATTATATACAAATTTAAAAGTCTAACTAAAACTGTTAGTTAAGAAATAATAAAGCACTCCTGATCTGAACAGATCCGAGAAACACTGTTCAAGTTTTTCAATTACTAAAAGTAGTATAAGGGGATATCTATATTTACGATTTGTTTTATTTAGACTGCCAGTTATTGTGGATTTAATGAGAGGGAATGAGTAAGAATGTGTAAGAATGGTGGGATTTGAGATAAAGGAAACTAACATAAGGATGATTTAATTGGGTTTTGGGGAAGTTTTTTTAAACTCAAACATAAACATTTAAATTAGATAATATATCAGATTCTTTGATAACTACATTGAATATAGTCAAAGTAATATTATAAATTGTATATATTTTGGGATTACGTTGTATATTTCTCCTTATAAAAAAAACGTCAAACAATCCATCAAAATTTTTAAAATATATATTATATAAATGGTTTTGATTAAATATAATTTTTTATTTATATATATATTAATGTATTTAATACATATTACTATTAAAATGAACAGTAATAATACTGATATTATTTTATTATTTATTTTATATTAATTAATTATATTTGTATATTACTGTAGTATTTAAATTATTTTGATTTTCATTTTTTGATATCTTTATTTAATATATGATAAAATGAATTTATTATTTGTTTATTAAAAAATATTATTTCTCTCTATATTTGTGTTTGAATAATTTTTAAATGCATTATATATCTATACTTTATTTCAAATTATCAATTGAGAATTTTTTTAACATCTATTATTTGTTGAAGGTGGGTGTAGTTTGTTATGCATTTTACATACATATTTTTAGGATATGAAATGTTTTTAAAAATGTATAATAATATTACCTTTTAAATTTGTAACTATATCGATTTAGTTTTTAAATTTTATTGTTTAAATTATTATTTTTTTAATAGTAAATAATTTTATATATTAGTTATAACATTAGTTTAAATGAATAAATTTTGTGAATAAAATAAAAGCTTACAAATATGTTTTTATTTTTATATTTTCATTTATATAGTTCTCCATATAAATATATCCTACGTTTCGAAATTTATTTGACTTTTTCGTCAGGGCGGAGTATTATTATTTATACTGAAATCTGTTCATAAACTTAGTTTTAAATAAACAATAAATTAACTACTATTCAATATATAAACAATATACAATAATGATTGTACCATCAAGGTTGTATAAAACCAAAAAAAAAATTAATTTAATGTTAATTTTAATTAAACTCAACAAACTTTATATCTATTAATAAAAAGGGGTTAATAGTATATTATTATTTCTCTATCAGAAGTGGTATAATACTTTGCCCTGATAACGTAGTCAAATAATTTTTGAAACGCTAGCAATGTTTGTATATAAAATAAATACATATATAAAATAAATTAAAAATTAAAAATTTATAAATAAAAAGTTGAAAAAATGTTTGTATATAAAATAAATACATATATGAAATAAATTAAAAATTAAAAACTAATAAATAAAAAGATGAAAAAAAATTTTTCAGTAAGATATTTTTATTTAAATTGATTTTTTGACTTTCCTCATTAAAAAATAAATTTAAAACTAAAACTGCTTACAATATAAATACTTACAAATATGAATTTTATTTTTAAAATTTTAAAAATTCAAATTAATATATTCTATACATATTAAAGAATTTCCTGA